TTGTCCTGGTCGATGTCATTTTTGTAGAGGGCCCAGGTGGACCAGATCGGGTAGCGGAAGGCGTTTTCCGACGGGATCTTGGACGGCTTGTTGAAATACCTCCGCACCATGTACTTGTGAATGGAGGTCACGTCTGAGCCGACGCACACCCTGTAGCTCAGCTCTGGGAAAGGCTGCTGCCCCAGGGGAGGCTTGTAGGGGGAATCCTTGTAGCGGGCCTGGAAGAAAAGGGACCGCTCGGTGGCGTTGAACCCGAGGTGGAAGGGCACCGAGTCGTTGATCTTGATGGCGGCCGCTTTCGAGGACAGCCAGTACCGCTCCAGGATGCCCCCGAAGCTGTCCCGGAAGGAGTACACGTCACTCGTCACGAAGGGCGCGGGCTCCTGGTACCCCGGGAGCCGGATGGGCCAGTGCTGCACACTCATCTCGCAGCCCCCGTACCAGTGCGCGTCCTCCCAGAACATGGTGTGCTCCACCGCCGTGTCTGCCACGAACTCCTCCCAGCGCACACGGTAGCACATCACCGTGTCCTTTTGCTTGACAGTCTGGATGAAGAAGTTCAGCTTCCCCTTGTCTGACCGGGTGCAGGTTAAGATCTCCCCTTCCTTGGAGCAGGACTCCAGGTCGAGGGTGCCCGACTGGAAGGCCAGTCTGAAGACCACCTCCCCGTCCTGGTTCTTGATGATGAACCCGTCCTTCCTCAAGTCCATCAGCTCCGTCTTCAGCTGCTCCGCCTTCCTGAGCGACGCGGTGTAATAGCACCACGCCACCACCGCCGCAATGAGCAACAGGAGCCCTACGGTTATCGTCCCGATCATGGGCCTCAGCTCCTTGGATGGCTTCTGTTTGATGGGGGTGATGTTTTCGGGTAGGAACGTATACATGATGTACCCTTTCTGTACAGCGTCTTCCTAATTGACAAGATAGCGGGCTTTCTGTCAAGCCCTGCTCTGTAGGTCTTGTGGATGGGAAAGGGCTTGTTTCTGGCAGTGGGATGCCTTGCTGGATCTCCAGGTAAGTGGGTTAGGAAGCCAGCGGTTCTTCCCACTCCAAATCCATTCGATTCTCAGTGTCTGAAATAGAGAGGAGGAGGACATTTAAGCACCGCTCAAGTGGATCTGTATCAATCACGGTCACTGCCAAGGTCCAACCAAGCACTTGGCCCCAGCGTTTTGGTGCAGACGCTGAGAATGAGAGGCTGAGCTCGTAATGGAAACCCAACCCCTAACCAAGAATTAGCATTTATAGGACCCATGTGACACGTGGATGAAAAGGACCAGATCTGTCCCAAAGAAGGCAGTGGGTCATGCAGATATACCCGAAATCAATTCATCAGAGCACGTGAAAGAGCACCAGTATATTTAAGTTTGAGAGGTTTTTTTTCCAGCACCTAGACTACTATATTTTACCCCCTCTGGGATTTAGGGGTTAACTTGCAACAGATGCTTTGGATGTCTGGAGCGAAGGTGTACTCTACCCCTGCACTTGGCATCAGCACAAGTCTCTCTCCGCTGCCCACAGACCTGCCTTGGACTGAGCGGCTTGTTATCCTAGCTGTCACATTTTATGGACTACTTGGGGCCTTTACGGCTAAGTGCAAATGAACAGACATGCATGGGTGAAAGCTGATCGCTTGCTAATGAGTAGGCAGATCTGTACGGTTTGCTCACAAAACCCACGGTCAGTAAGCTGTTAGCATCGTTCCTGGGTGGTGCTAACTGGCAGGGCTGTACACAATTGTGTGATGATCTCTAAGCAATGTGGCTTTCTATCTACGGCTGTCTCCACTCTGGATTTAACTCAGATTAACTGCACTCGCCTTAACTCTTATTGTGCAGGGTGTATTATCATCCTGGGTGATTGTATCTGGGCATATGTATTAGCAGCAGATGAGCTGTGCTAATGCAAGAGACTGTCATCTCAAGGTTAAAGCTCCCCCACTGAAGACCGAGGACGGCGGGTGCGGATGGGGTCCTGCCTATCACTTGCAATCACTATGCAGTCAAGATAAACCCTGGAAGTATAGCTTAAGGGAGACTTATTGCACCTTGAGCCATCATTACAGATGCACAAGAAGGAAGAGAAATGCCGCTCTGCCATGGACAAATGTCCAGTCGCTCAGGGTGGAGAGGACAGGGATTGCAGAAAATAAATGGTTCAGAGCTTTTAAAGGCTTTTCCTCTTGGGCACCTGAGCTCCAGTTTGTGCAGGTCCTGCCTCTGCTCCGCTCCGGCTGGTTATAGTCTGAGCAGAGGCAGCCAAGTGCAGGTTGTTATAATCCTGCTCTCTGATGCAGAGATGCCAAGATCCTCGTGGATCCTGCCTGGCTGCCAGCTTGCTCTGCCCGGCCAAGCACAGCTCGGGGGGCAAAGGAAAGGACATGCCAAGCAATTAGAGAGAAGGCCAGAGCCCGCGAACAGCGGAGCTGGGAAGGAGAGCTGCAAACAGGCAACCGGAGGGAGAGGCCTGGAGGATGGCAGGGGGACCAGCCATCAGGTACCATCAGGTTATCTGTCTGTGGCCAAACACAAGCCCAGGTATTTCTCACCCTCAGTCTCACTGGCCCTTGGTAAATCTCAGCTGAAGAGACTTCATCTTTGTGAGGAAAAGAGCAGGGCAATGGGCTTTCCTTCCAAGGGATAGTTTGATTAAAGAAAAGAGGCTTCTTTCCTAAAACCTGTGCTTAGAAGAAAGTTCTGACGTGGAAAATAATGAAACTTTGGTTTGGTTTTCTTCCTCACGGAAACTGAACTTCCCCCACATTACTTTTGCACTACTTCAAAACAGAGTGCATCCCTTACTGAAAAAATGCAATCAGATGGGATCTCGCTCCCCGTCACATTCCCCATGACATATTCCCACGTCCCCGAGCCCCAGTGGGATAGATGGTGGCTGGAAGGCCTTCCACAACTGTCTTATTTGGGGGTCCAAAGACAGCTGACGAGGTTGATCCGGGATCGACAGACTCTGCTCCAACTCGGGCACTTGTTTCCATGCGGGGTCGGTGGCTCTGGACTCTTGATTGATGGAAATAAGCCAGGCCAGCAGCTCCCAAATGGTGGTCTGCAGATGATTGGTGATCCATCTGGCCATGGCAAGTGGATCACAGCCAGTCTGTAGACTGCATCTCTACAGACCCTCCTCTTCTTCTGTGCAATCAAAAGTCTTGTGCTAAGTAAGCATGCAGCTCAGTAAGACACTTAAAAGCTGTCAGCGGGTCTAAAATGTGCGAGAAACCCTGAGCTACGGGAATACAACCATCCCCAGGGGAGGGAAGGCAGGCGCAGCGGGTGTCCTGGGTTACAGCGTCTGCTGGGTCCCTCATGCTTTAGAAGAGAAAACGCAGCTTACAAGTTGAGCAGGGAGCTGGGAGTCAGGACTTCTGGCTCCTATTTCCAGCTCTGTTGCTCACCTGCTGGACAGCTTTGGAGCAAGCCACTTCTGCTTCCTGCACCTGAGCATCTCCTCCTCTAAAACAGGATGAATGAACTTTCTCATCTCACAGGAGCAGATGGACGGTCGGGAAACAGGGCACAGAGCCTGACCGCAGAGGACCAGGGCTCCTCCGGAGACCTGCTCTGCAACCAGCAGTCCTGCACGCCTGGCCTGAATGTGGTGGGATGGCTGCAAAGAGCTTACAGACCATCCTCAAGGCCAAGCCTGCCCGAGGCTGAGGATCAAAGCCTGCAGGGTGCTTCCAGCTGCTCAAAGGTTTAAAAAGCAAAGGCCTGATAGACTGTACCCCTCTCCAGGGTGCTCTTCACCCCAGCACCAGTGCACCTTGTGATTCCTGTGAAGCAGGAAAGTTTTAGCCTTGTTTACAAATGGGAAGATGAAGCATGGGGTAGACTAAACACCATGCCCAGGGCCACACAGGGAGCCTGTGGCAGAGCAACAAGAGGGAAACAGTGGACCTGGGACCTGGAGGGAATGCAAGGTTTGTAAGGCAGCAGAAGGACACAAAGCCTGGGCTGACACAGCCCTTTCCTCCCTCCACCACAAGGTCCTTACCTTCCTGGCCTCGTAGTAGGTTTAAATGGGATTAGGGTAGAATTAAAGGCTGATTACACTGAATGCGCGATAGGTTTAATTGAGCGATAGGCTCCCCAGAGCCCTGGCTTTCTCCACGTATAGGCCCGAGGATGGCGCTACAGGTGGGGGGAAAGGGGAGCTGGATCACCTTTAAGCCTTCAGGTACCAGAAGCCCTAAAGCCTGGCACGCCTGCAAATGAGCCTCATGGAGGTGCACCCTTGTCCAAGGTAGGATGGAGCCTGGGGAGCGCTGCGGGGATTTCTCTCTCCTCTCTGAAGCAAGCATTGTCCCGAGTTGAAAGTAAAACTGAGACAGGCCCATCCTCACGGTTCGGTGACCCTCCAGGCAAGCATGTCACAGCCAAGCGTGACACGAGTGTCTCTGAGCACCCAGGACATCCCCGCTCCAACTTGCAGGAGTGCTGGGGCTCACATAAGGGTACGCATCTTGCCGGGTGCCTTTGGACAGTTAATTGTAGGCAAAGTGGCTCTGGAGAGAACAGGGTGCGAGGCAGTGCCCTTGCAAACAGGCAGGCACGCTGCAGTGCAAGGGGCTCGGGATGACTGAGCCCTGGGTAGTGCACAGATGAAACGGGGGGGCACAGCAGTGAGACGGGTGCGTGGGTGAGCACCCTTCCCCTTGCTTTCAGCACCTTGCTTCTGCTGGAGCAGACATGGGTTTTGTAGTTCATCTTACAGGCAAGGCAGGCGAAGGAGTGTCGGGGTGAGGGAGACTGCGGGGAGGAGGAGGGTTGAAAGGAGCGGGGAAGAACCTTGGACGAAAGCAAGAGTTTCTGATGCAGGGGGCTGACAAGGACAGTTGTGCCTGGGGAAAATCGTAGAAGACATGAAGTTATAACCGAGGCATTGGCATCTCTATTTACAGACAGGGCAGAAACTTCCTGGTACTGTTCATACACAACCTGCAGTGGAGGTAGAGCGGCTGCCTTGAGAGCTGGGATTGCTACACGGGCCTCAGGGCTGTTGCTGCCTCCCAGCTGCTGTTGAAATGCAGCCAGCTCTGGGCAGGGATCACACTGTTTCCACCAGGGAACGCTTTGCTTTTGCTCATTATTTTCCCTGAATCTAAAACAAAACAAAAACACCCTCCCCTCCCGCGGTTGCAGAGTCGGCACTCGCCCTTTGCAGTCGGAAACAAAAGCTCCACCAGCCGCAAAGGCCCCATCACCGTCCAGGTAAAACCTTAGTGCTGCGTCAGGCACTGACGATTTCTCCCTCTGCCGTAACGAGACCTGGGCTCACAGCAGCTGTGAATAATGGGCTACTGAAGATGGAGAGGTGTCAACAGGTTTTTTAGAGCTCAGGTTATAAACATAATCCCATTTACAAATGAATGTCAAGGGCCAGAAGGCCAAAAAGAGGGCTTAGGGTTTGGGTAAGCAAATGCAAATGCAATGGGTAAGAAAATGCAAATTTAAGCTGTAAGAAAATGCAGATGCAAGTATGTGCAACTAAAGCTGGGTGCAACTATGTCTGGTAAGAGACCCCTTTCATCCTAATGAGTCACATTAAAATAAGCCCTGGGAACCCCCGTCAAGGATCAGAGCCTCGGATTGCTAGGGGCGCTGTATCGTAACCAAGCCAAAAGTCCCGGCTCCAACCCACTCGGGCCACACGAACGCCACCCACCTCAGGGGGGGTGGAGGTGGCAGTCGGATGAACGGCAGAGGGGAAAGCTTTGTTCTGGAGTCAGGGAAAGCTATATTTTACGCCAGCCTTGAGCAAGGACAGCTTGCCTGGGTCTGATCATGCTCTCAACCTGGCTCTCAGCCTGAAAGCTCCAGGGATGCCAGCAACAAATGGGAGAAAAAGAAAACAGCTCCCAGAGCCAGAGAGCTCATGTGCTGTATGCGAAGTTTCCTGCGATCCAGAAGCGGGAGGAAGAGGTGGGGTGGGGTTCGACTCCTGGCCCGTCTCAGAATAGCAGAGCTCTGTGTCATTTGCTCCACAGGCTTCTCTTTGCTTGCGGAAGAAAACGATGCTTGCGGTAGCCAGGGCGGGGGAGAAGCTGTGTGACAAGCCCTTACCCACACTTCCCAAATTAGCTTCCCAGAGATTTGCTGCCATCAGCAAGTGCAGGAAAGCAAAACAAACAAGCAAAGCCACCCCCGGGCAAGCTTACCGCTGAAGCCTGGCTCTGCTAGGGGAGCGTTAGCCTCCAGGAGAGGAAAGGAGGGGACTTTTCTAACACATGCTGGCCGTGTCTACACATGCATTTATGCTGCCTTAAATTCTCTGCGCAGTAAATTA